CCTGTGCTGGATGGTGAATTCCAGTAGGCAATGATCGCTATCACCCAGGTGGTTGAGAATGCGCAGTCCACTCACCAGGTCGTCACCTGTGGCCAGGACCAGATCCAGCAAGGCATTTCCCCTGGTGGGAGTATGCACCTCCTGGGTTAGGTGGAGGTCCTGTATCTCGGCAAGGAACCTATGTGAGCAGTCAGACCTGGCTGACTGCTCCTCCCAGCAGATGTCTGGGTAGTTTAGGTCACCCATGATGACTACGTCCCTTGACTTAACTGCCCCCGCGAGCTGATCTGAGAATTCCTGGTCCACCTCTTCCCCCTGGTTGGGTGGTCTGTAGTAGACCCCCACCGTTAAGTCCCTTTCCCCCCGACCCCCTTGTATTCTAACCCAGAGCACCTCAGTCTGTCCCTCCTCTGACCCAGTGCTGTTTGTTGAGGACGTGTATTGCTCTTTGACATAGAGCGCCACACTCCCACCTTTCCTCCCTGTTCTATCCCACTTGTACAGTCTGTAGCCCTGGATGTTTACCGCCCAATCATGGGTTGAATCCCACCAGGTTTCAGTGAGCCCCACTATGTCTGGGTTTGTGTTAGCTAGCAGGAGGACAAGTTCCTCCTGCTTGTTCCCCATATTACGAGCATTAGCGTAGAGGCATTTAAGGCCTCCTATGGGTGCATGCACCACCCCCTTGATCCTAGGACTATGCAGACACCTGTCATGTAGCTGAGTACTTCTTGTGCTCATCACCTGTCTTGACTAGGAGGTGTCCTCGTGTCCCCCTGTGGCCCCATCCCCCAACGAAGCTAATTTAAAGCATTCCGTATGAAATCAGCCAACCTGGAAGAGAAGACACACTTGCCTTTAGGGGACAGGTGAAGCCCATCTCACCCGAGCATGCCCCCTGTGCGAAAATGCGGGTCATTGTCAAGGAACCTGAGGCCTGCCTGGTAGCACCAACTCCGAAGCTGCCGGTTGACCACTCTGATGCAGGCCTCATGGCGCCGTCTACATCTACTTACTGGGAGAATTGAGGAGAATACCACCTGCACCCCGGTCTCTTTGAGCTTGGCCCCCAGGGCCTTGTAGTCCTTCATGATGTGGTCTGGACTGCTCCCAGCCACATCATTTGTTCCCACGCGGATTAGGACCATGGGATACTGATCCGAGGGTCGAACGAGGTCTGGGATCATGTCTGTAACATCCTGAATCCGAGCCCCAGGCAGGCAGCAGACATCATGTGCCATAGGGTCGGGTCAGCAGATGGGACCCTCCGTTCCCCTCAGGATGGAGTCTCCAATAATGAGGACTCGGCGTTTCTTCCTCGTGGTGTTCCGCCCTTGCTCAGACCGTGCTGTGCATAGAGTGGCACTGGCCCCCCTGGAGGCATCCACTTCAACTTTCTCTTCTAAGGCTGCCAAGGCTTCGAATCTGTTCCCCAGTTGTACTTGGGGAGCCACCACCACGCTAGCCTGAGCAGCTTTTGTTCTAGTGGCCACCTTCTGCCATTCTTCTGCTGTGCATCTCTCCTGCGAGGTCTGTCTGCTGGAAAACTGATCCTGCAGAGAATGGAAATTCGTGTCAATTTTGTCCTCCGCAGCCCTGATCCCCCGTAGCCTGCTCACCGCAGCCTGGAGTTCCCTCACCTGCTCCTCCACGGCCCAAATTCAGGCACAAGAGGGATAGGCAAGGGAGCCTCCAGAACCCTCCCCCACCCACAGCCTCCGGGTCCCCACCAGGCAGCCCCCACAGACGGGGGGCAGGGGGCTGCCAACCCCACCATGGGCTCCGTCTGGGTGGAGGCCTCAGAGGAGCCCAGGGTAGGGGGAGCTGTGGGTGCTAGCCCAGGGGACAGCTGTCTCCTGGCAGGGGCTGGGACATTGCTCCCGGGCTCTGGGGGCTGCCTGCTGCCATAGTGCGCTCTGCTACCACAGCTCAGGCAGGGACAATGTCCCCCTGCCCCAGCCCCAGGGAGGTCCCAGACCCCACTCTGCAATTGCAGGGCCCAGGCTGGGAAAGCCTTATCTCCCAGTGCCAGCTCTATGGTCATGGGGCTGGCACTGGGAGATCCTTATTTCCCAGCCCAAGTCCCGGGATCGCTGGGACAGTGCTGGGAGATCCTTATCCCTCACATTTGCTCTGTCAGGCAGAATCTACATGTGTACTACTGTGCAGTAAGTAATCTAGAGTAAATTTCCTACTTGCATTTGCAGGTAGAAAATTTATTCATGATTAGAGCCAATTACTGTGCAGCATGTGTCTACACGTGTACATATGAATGCTTACTATCCAGTAATTCGCTCTACTGCGCGGTAAAGCATCTTGTGTAGACGTGCCCACAGGCACCTAAGTGCGATTCTATTCCACCCTATTCCAGTTCCTGAAAATTCATGAATGCATTTACTTTTGTAACACACTATCTTCTTAAGATTGAATCACAAAAGGCAGCAAGGACCCACTCATCTTTTGCATTAACTCTTCTTCAGGAAATTAAGTGGGGAAGAGAGAGAGGGAGAAGTGCAGTTAGGCATCTAAGCTGACTTATGTACCTTAACAGGTGGAATAGAATCTGTTGCTACAAGTTTCTACTGTTGTACACTTTTATGGATTACACTAATCAACCAAGCAGATAGATCAGGATTCTCTAACTGGAAAGCAGACAGTTATCAGAGGTACTGAGCTTCATTGTGTCACCACAAAAGGGACGAAAAGTCTTCAAAAGGCCACAAGCAATTGTGAATGAAAGTACTGAGCTTCAGCATTGTATTCTCTGTGGGCTCAGATCAAGCATAGTCCTCTTGAAGGCTGGCCTCTTGAAGGCTCAGATCAAGCATAGTCTATGCTTATCTAGCAAGGGAAACACCGTGACCACGGGGGCAGTCTTCTTAGCCACACTGGGGAAGACTGCTCTCCTGGCACGGGGATAGTACCTGCCAAGGTAATGTATAGAAAACCTCCCACTTAGCTGCTGAAGTGGGAATGTCTTGGCTTTAAGCCTACTTTATGGAAATAGGAAACTGCTCTCTGGCTTGCCCCTGGGGCCTTACAGCTGCGGGCAAGCAAAACTTGAGGGCATCCAAACCCCAAGCCTCCGGGCTTAGGCCAGCAAGTAGGATGCTCACCAAAGGTTTTAGAAACATCTGAAGTCCCAGATGGGGGCGTGGAGGATGTTTGCCAGTAGTAGGGCCACTTATGGTTCTGGACTGACTTGTGGATTTGGAATTTGATTTGGCAAATTTGGCTTGGAATACGGAAAATTTAAATAAATAAATAAAAATAAATAGGAAGACGGTAATGAAAATATACTGAACAAATGGCTTTAAGCAGCAAGGCTAACTGCAAGCTATATCCAAATGACTCGGCCTACAAAGCTAGCTATGCCACAATATCCAACTTTTAGATGTCTGGCTCCCAGTGTTAGACTCCATACACAGTGCAGAGGGTGAACTAGTTGCCTCAGAAACATGATCCAAAAATCCTACTTGCTGAGTGGGGATCTGCCTGCAGATAGCCTGTAAGGAACCCTAAGTGCAGGTGTGTTGGCAGTCCTGCCAGTGTCGGGATTGTTGGGGAACATCTCTGCCCTTTGGGACCTAGAGCCCAGCTCCCAAGAGGTATCTACTTCTAAGGGTAGAGCCTGGCAGGTATTTTTTGACAGATTTGAGCAGCACTGGCTTTTTTAAAATGCAGAGACAGGTCTTTATATAAGACCACAAAGTGGTTAGACAGACCACTCATCCAAGACACAGAAAACCAGGGTTCAAGTCTCTCCTCAGCTGGGGGGTGGGGGTTCAAAGCCACATCTGCCTGCCAGGAGAGTGCCCTCAGCACCAGACTGTGGGACACAATGCTGAAGCTGGGCACAATGCAACAAAGAGTACAACTACTGAGAAGGTGAGCAGGGCTGAGGGAACCTGAGAGCAGAGTCTAGCAAGGATTGCACTCATTGGGGAGGTGGGAAGTCCTGGGGTCCAGTCCCTGCTTCCTGTTCCTGATGCGTTCACACATTTTTCCATTAGACCAGCAGTGCTCAACTTTCTGGCCCCACTTCCCAGATGACTGGTGTGAGGTCAGTCTGCGCGCCACACTGAATGATAGAAAATTAGGGTTGGAAAGGACCTCAGGAGGTCATCTAGTCCCACCCCCTACTCCAAGAAGCATCATCCCCAACTAGACCATCCCAGACAAGGCTTTGTCAAGCCCGGTCTTAAAAAACCTCCAAGGATGGAGACTCACAACTTCTCTGGGTAACCTGTTCCAGTGCTTCACCACCCTCCTAGTGAGAACGTTTTTTCCCTAATATCCAACCTAAACTGCCCTTGCTGCAACTTGAGACAATTGCTCCTTGTTCTCTCACCTGCCACCACTGAGAACATCCCATGGGCAGGGATGGTCCTGGGAGCAGGGGCCAGAGCCAGTGGCAGGAGACAGCGCAACCCCGACAGGAGCCTGCAGGTGGCGCTGTGGGAGTGTCCCTGCCCACGGAGACTACAGCTCCCAGCGTGCATCAGGCGCCGCGCTGCATGCCGGGAGTTGTAGTCTTGGCGGCTCAGCCCAACCCCTTGCCACGTGCGAGGCGGGAACAGTAGCCCCGCCCCTTTCCCCGCAGTGGCTGGGATACAGGCTCCACCCCTATTTGCAACCTGGCCCTCCCTCAGGACCCTGGTGGGACTGACAGCTATGCGCCTGTTTCTAAAAATGCATGCTTGAGGCAACAGCAGTTATGACCCCACCAGACGCTTAGTGTGAATGCCCACGGGGAGGTTTCTAGAGCCAGCGGCAGTATCGGCGAGGCAGGTTGCACCTCAGAGAGCCCCATGTGTCTCTCAGTCCGTCAGGCAGCACCGTGGGCGCCACAACGGGAGGGGCGGGGTCCTTCCTCCC